TTTCGGTTTGAAAAGCACAAACTGTTTGGGGTCTACGGTGGTGTAATTCAGCCCGCCGGCGCAGGCAGTTCGTGAGGCGTAAAACCGCTAGACATTGGGTCCACATCAGCCCGGAAAAATCTCGTCTCGTGCAGGTGGCTGCCTCGCACAGCTGGAGATTGTGTATGAACCGGAGGATTCCTCCTAGCCATGGGTTCCACATGTGGGCAAGGCATCATTTCCTGCCACACAACACATACACCTTCTCTGGGCCCAAAATTCGATCCACGGCCTGACGCCCACGTGACACGTCTTCTTGGGCCCTGGTATATTCCCACATGTTCAAGAAAGGGCACCAAGGCAGATTCGATTCCCAGGCTTCCCCCGGGATTCGGATTGGATTTGGGCCTCCATTTGGTCCTTCCGTGCCCGGCGCGACGCTTCGTCGTCTTCGATTCGTCGCGGCGGTCGGCCCCTGAGCCGCCCAGCCACGTGCTGAACCAACGCCTGGAAGCTCCGGGGGGCGAACACTGGGTGGTGCGTGACCCAAAAGGGGCCAGTCCTTTAGACGTCTTTTTGGATTCCAATTTTAGCCGCCCTTACTTTGGATGTTTGTTGGATTGGGTTGTAACCAGAACTCTTGGGTTTCAAGGCTTCACTGGGTGGATGGGGCTAATTGCAGCCCATCTTCTCGGGTCATGGAATGGACTTGTCCTCGAAGCAATTTAGGTGTGGGGCCAAGGAGACCGGCGTCTGATGCCCCACCTTTGATGATCTTAGTCTTATATAATCTTTAAACTGAAGTCTTGGGAGCAATTCACAGGGTGGATCATGACTCATAGGTTATAAGCAGCTGTGGGTGAAGGGTCCATGAGAGGTTTGCTGAATTTACCAAGAGCTGGAGACCAGCCAACCTTTTCCTTGAGAACGGACATCCCCTCTCACAAATAGAAACCAGCACTGTGCACGGCTATCAAACTGATACCATTTACGTCCGGCGTATATAGATTCTTGTTCTATTCTTATTTGTGAGCGAAGAACACGTCAGTTTGAAACATCCTTACAATTGTCGGAGCATCTTCTACCCACAAGCAACATTAGAACCACATTAGAAGACTACAGGTCTTGGATGACCGGTTCAATTGGCAATACAAGAAACAAGTCTGCTCCAAACCAGATTCCAATCTACAAATCGGGACCGAAGCTGCTTGTCTTATTGCAAGCAACGGGTTCTCATGGAAGACTCCACCAAGAAATCCAATTGCCAGCGTGGAAAGGGAAGTAGTATTATCTGTGATCTGTGATTGATTTCATTTGTTGGGCAGATCTTTCCACGAGCCACTCAGACCAGATTGAAAAGCATCGAAACCCGAAGCTGCACCAAGGATGGGGATGGGGATGAGGCCAATTTGACTGGAAGGAGTTCATGCCTCGATGGAAAGACTGAGAAAAGGCCTTATATCATGTGAAGCAGGCACTTTACATATAGTGGTTGATATACAGCTATATATAGTTGTCACCACAATGAACTGCGAAGCAACTGGGATTCCATGCGCTTTGGTTGTCACCAATGCAATCCTCCTTCTGTGTGCAAAGGTGATGTCCTCTGGCAAAGTTCATTTGCCTCGGGTGAACCAAGAAGCGCAAGGAGGACCTACATTGCCTACCCCTCGTAGACTCCTTCACCACCCCTCCAACCGAAAACCCTGAAAACCTCACCTCTCCACGTGGACAAGCCTGAACACGAAACCGAACACCGCGCGACCACGAGCTTTCTCTCCCCGGGCGCCGAGCGAAAGGTCGGGTTTCTTCTGCCACTTGGCAGGAGGAGCTGCACCGCCATTCTTGCCGCCCCCTAGGCACCGAAGGAACGAGTCGGAAGGACTCACAGCGGAGAATGAGGCGACAAACGGTGCCAAGCAGGTTCTATCGGTAGAAAGCCGTATATGTCGTAAAACGAAGTTAATACAGCAGAACAATGAGAAGCCAAACATCATGCATCAACACCGTCATATCCAACCTATGTCTCCAGTGGCTCCAATGGGTCCGTGCGCATTGAAGGGCCCTCTGCTCTGCTCCCTGGGCATTTCGACCGAAGCTTTGCTCCAGCGGTCTCTTTTGGCCTTGGCCTAAGCGCTCCGGAGCGAACAACTGATGACACCAACTGGACTGATTGGAAATGCCGTAAGTACGTATGTATTCAGTTTTTCAAAGGGGATGAGTCTAGAGTCTATGACAGACTTTGATCTGAAAGATTCAGTATGTTTCGGTCAAATCCGCTTCAATCTGCTCCCTGCCTGAGCTTCCTGAGCTTCCCTGCTGCTGAAGGGGTTCTGCCAGCCAGGCGTTCTGGGCGTGAACTGCCCAGCACCCTTCGCCGCACCGGCACCTTTCGCCACCGACACCGCGGGCCGAGGCAGCCCAAGTGTCGCCCCGCCCTTGCCGTTGAAGACGGGCGCGCTGGTGGGCACGCGGGGCTCCTGGTGGAAACCAGAACTTGGTGAAAAAACCAATGAGTCACCGAGTACTTCTATCCCAAGTTGAGAGATTCAATCAGGAAAGGTGTTTTTTTGTACGCTCCAGTGTGTTTTCGCAGCCCCCCAGCAGGGTTGAGAAAAGGCACTCTGAAAGATCCTTGCCGCTGCATCCACTGCAGGGCATCGCACACTTTTCCACATGGTGCCTTGTTGCGTGCTCCTGATATCACTGCCTAGTGTGAAACTCAGGTGGCATCCCCCAAAGCATCACCCTCTCAGCACACTAGTCATGGGAATCAAGAAAGCCTTTCTTGCATACTTGATTGATCAAAGAAGTTGAGGCTGAATATCTTCGCGTTATCTTTCCACCTGCAGTTCTTTTGCAAATATTTCACAATGTTCTGTTGCACATGTCTCCTGTGATTATGCCCTCGCTCGATCCAGAACCCAAATCTTGGCAGGATCGAAGATACAAGCCTCCGAATCGATCTGAGATCTGGGCAGCAGGTTTGGCGGAGGGTCTATGATACATGACTATGCTTCCTGCAAAAGACTGAGCACAAGCATCCCATTCTTGTGTCTCGGAGTTGATCGCAGCAGGAATGTTGCTTGCACACCGCATTCTGGGCTGTTCAAATGATTGTTGCAAGACCTGCACTTGTGCACTCCGCAGAAGTTGCTCTGACTGGCGGATTGATTGGTACAACCAGGCTAGT